ACTGTCTGAGTTCAAATCCTGATTTTATCACTTATTAGCTGTGTGATTTTGGGCAAGTTGCTTAATCTGTCTATGCCTCATCAGTACACTACAGACATAAAAATAGCACCGATATAATAGGATTATTTTGAGGACTGAGTTAAAATATATAAAGCACTTAAAATAGTGCCTGGCACATAGTAAGTGTTCAATAAATATTAGCTTTTATTAAGGGAAGAAGGCTGGCTAATTTAACGTTAATGTCTTTCCAGGTCTTTTTGTCTCTAGGTAACTAAGTACATAATGAATGAACACCTCTGTGGAAGCTGGAGGTCAGACTCTGGTCAGCTGATAGGTTAGGTCTTTAGCAACCCTATTAACATGCATAGACACACTTAGGCTGCGTCACTTTTTCCCAGATTGCCCTCACCCCTAGGCAGCTTAGAGATACTTTTGTGAAATAAACACAATCACCAACTTAAGTAGGCAAGTTGAGTATTTAAAGGCCACTTCATCAACATAGGGAGACAACTGACAACTTTCAGAAGGGATTTAGTTTAAAGTAGACTATCCCCAGGGAGGCCTCAAGTGAAATTAGGGTTAAATGAATGTTCAAGAAGGGGACAAGTCACTAATGTTAATAGGCAGCTGGATGAGTGTGTGTGGAAAGGAATAGGGTGCTCCACAGAAAGGCAGTTAAGCTCTGAATCCAGATCCCCTGGAATACAGATTGTATGGATCTGAGCGTTGCTTTTGTTTTCACCACTCTACTACCTGTTTTTACAACCAGACCCTCCGCTTTCCTCCACTCCCTGCAGTTCCAGCCTCCTGCTTCCAGGAACACAAACACCCCAAATTATAGGAGCTTTTGATTCGCCATTTCCTTGGGACAGCCTGAAGAGAGAATCGAAAGAAGTTCTTGTCAGTATGGTTGCATAAAACTGAGTCGGAGATTGTGAAATGTCCTTTGAGAAAAATGTACGGGCAGGAAGATGAATAGGTGTCTGTTTGATTAAGGTGCAGTATCGCCTGTGGGCAGGATGATGAACTAATGAGATTCCATACAATTTAAAGGTCCTAAATCTCCATTTCTCAACACTCCCATTCTTGACTCTTTTTGGCAAAAAATCAATGTGGCCAAGGAAACGCAGTAAAGTGTACATCAAGTTCTAATGTCAAGAGATTTGACTCAGCTACTGTGTGTGTGTGTGTGACAATTGAGATACAGAGGATAATTGTGCATCACCCAATATCACTTAGTAACTCTGAACCTCTGTGCCAGCCATGAAAAATAAAAAGGGTGGCGTGTGTGTGTGTGTGTGTGTGTGTGTGTGTGTGTGTGTGTGTGTGTTTGGGAGCCAGCTATTAACAGCTGTTATTGCCTTATTAAGGCAAAGGACTTATTTAGCCCAGTACCCTCTACTCTCCTCTTTTCACCCTATCAACATTTTATCTCAAAGACCACTTATCATTTATTTACACTTCATTGTGAATTTAATTTGCACAATTATCCTAGGGCTATTTGATTTTAAGCCTTATTTCATCGTCACTTACCTATATATTCAACTTTTCACTTTCTATGGAATTGGTCCCTCTAGCACTAAACATATTTATTATCTCTTCTACCCTAAAAAACAAATCCTACTTTGACTATGCATTGCTCTCTAGCTACAACATATCTTTCTTAGGCAAGTTTCTCAAAAAAATCTCTACTAAATGTTTCCACTTCTTCACCTCTGATGCAATTCTCAATTCACTACTCCCAGGGCGCTACTGAAACTGTTCTCATTTAAGTAATTGTTAAATCTAGTGGACATTTCTCAAGGCTTATCTTATTTGACCTTTCTACTGTGTTAAACACTATTAACCACCTATTTGCTCTTTTAGAAACATTTTTATTCATTGCCTTCAGATCATTATTGTCTTCTAGCTCTCTTCCTACCTCTCTGAGCACTCCTTCCTAATCTTCACAAGCTTTTCCTTTTTTTTTTTTTTTGGAGATGGAGCCTTGCTCTCTCACCCAGGCTGGAATGCAATGGTGCGATTTTGATCACTGTAACCTCCGCCTCTTGGGTTCAAGCAATTCTCCTGCCTCAGACTCCTGAGTAGCTGGGACTACAGGTACACGCCGCCACACCCGGCTAATTTTTTGTATTTGAGTAGAGACGGGGTTTCACTGTGTTGCCCAGGCTGGTCACGAACTCCTGAGCTCAGGCAATCCACACGCCTTGGCCTCCCAAAGTGCTGAGATTACAGGTGAGAGCCACCGCACCCGGCCCACAAGCTTTTCTTTCTGTGCCTGCCCTTTAATGTTTTTTCCCAAGTGGAAATAGTTTTACTTTTTCTGATTAAAAAAGAAATGTAAGTTTACTGTTAAAAAAATCAGATCCTTTAGAAAATTATAAAAATATAAAATCCAACTGAAACCCCATCACACAGAGGTAACCATTGCTAACATTTTGGTGTATGTCTTCCCAGACTTTAAAAATTATTATTATATATATATCATATACATTAATACAAGTGATATCATACTACAATATTTTTACCAGCTTTTTTCACTTTTTCACGGACAGCATTCTGTATCAACAAGCATAGGACATTATTTTAAATGAATAGATGGGGAACTGTAAAATAGGCCATTTACACAAGAGAGTGAAATTTATGATGGAATTGACTAAGATAAAAAGCCTTATAAAATATAAAATCCACTGCCCCTTTATAAGAGTTGTTATATAAACAAATTCGCAAATTAGAAAAAAAATGACTACAAAAATATTGGAGAAAAGGAATAATTATTTGCTCCTAAAAACAAGATCCTTACACTGGTATCTTTGTGTGATTATCTGATTATTTTCGGAGGATTAATTATTGGAAGTAAAATTTTTGAGTCAAAAATTTTGGTAAATAACATTAAAAATAAAAAAATACAAAGGCATTATACTTAAACACAGTTAATGAAAAACAACTCTCTGCCGTCTGTGACTCCTTTTCTCCAGTTCTGCTCTCCAGGGACAACCAGTATTACAAGTTTCTTCAAGTCGAAGTTTTTAAAAAAATATACATACTGCCAATCTATTTCCCAGAAAGATTGTACCGATTCACATTCCTACCAAAACTGCATGCCCTCACCAACTTTTAAATCTTCTGTCCTTGCCTATTCATGTTTTTCTTTCTACATAGTATGCTGATGACTCTCGTATCTCTATCTCTTTAACCCTGACCTCGCCCTCGAGCTCCAGGCCAGTATTTCCAGCTACTTGCTGGACATCTCCACCTAGATGTTCTACAGACACCCCATATTTATCTAAACTGAATTCTTTTTTTTAAAAAAATAGAGACGGGGTTTCACCGCTTTGGCCAGGCTGGTTTCGAACTCCTGACCTCGGTTTCGAACTCCTGACCTCAAGTGATCCACCCGCCTCAGTCTCCCAAAGTGCTGTGATTACAGGTGCTGACTCAACGTGCCCGGTCTGCATATGCCATTTCTTATTCCAGAAATTACCTTTCCCCATTTCCACTATTTGTCCTTTATGTCTTTTCATGTTTTTTAACTCAGATGTTTCCTCCTCCAGGGGAGCCCACCCTAATTTTTCCAATTTTACATTTCCTATGTGCTGCTTTGAACATTTACTTATTTTGTATTTGTCACATTATATTAGTTTTGTTTACTTGTCTCCCTTGCTAGAATGTTAACTCCTTGAGGGCAGGGACTCTCTAAACTCCAGGACTTTAGTGTGTAGCATGGTGCTTGGCACGTAAGTAGTTGCTTAGTGGATATTGGTTAAATTGAATTAAATAACAATTGTGAAATTGTAGGGCCCTATACTCTGTTGAAAGAATTTCAGGCATCAGTGATATGGGAAATATTTTTTGAGCAGAAGGCGGCAGGGGAAAGGAAGGTGGAGAAAGGATGACCTGAAATCACCACCCAGTCTACCCTTTTTGTGGCTCATGTGTAAATTAGTAATATAAATATTAATATTTCTATATTCTCACGTAAACATTTATTCTATCTCCATTATGGGTTGCAGGCAACTTCAGGGCAGTGCCAAGTATTAAGTTCTGCGAGGAGAAATAGAAGATATGACATAAGTGCCCTCAATTTGCTGAGAATAGTAACATTGAGTACACCTGGAGTTAGCTTTTATGTGACAACAAGTGAAGGAGTAAGATATGCCCAATTTTCCTGAAAAGTGTGAGAGAAATATCTTTCTTTACTCCATCCTAGTTGCTTGCTGCTTTCCTGGCACTACGTCATGATGAGTGCTCCACTGCGTGTGGCAGGAACTGAAACCATCAGTGGCACATGTGGCACAGCTACGTTCTGGGTACTATTGTTGGACCCCCACCCTCCAGAGACCACCCTTCTATTTTCGCGGAAAACCAGTACTTATTCAGGTCACGGGGCTTCGGCCTATCACTGTAGGATCCTCGCTCGAGGGGCAGTGCCCACTGTTGATTAATACACTGTATGAGACAATTTCTTGGGTTGAGAAGCCGCGATTGGCAGAACCAGCCTGTGGAGCTAAGCAGGGTATTGGGTACTGCGTATTGGGGATGCAGGTTCCCGGGTGGCCACAAACATCACCCGGAAGCCTGAATATGGCCTCCCCTCTTCAGGGCGCGCTGCACTCAGCACCGCCGCTATTCAGGGCGCAGGGCCCGGGCCCGAGCGGCGTGCGCGTGCGCGCGTGCGTGCGTGCGTGGGCGCGCGGGCGCGACGCCGCCGCCTGTAGGTTGGCTGGTTATTTTGCAAGCGGGAGGGGCCGTGCGCGCTCCTGCCTCAGGCCTCTGTCCCCCACCCCCCTTCCCCGGTCCCAGGCTCTCCTTCGGAAAGATGTCGGACACGGCAGTCGCTGACACCCGGCGCCTTAACTCGAAGCCGCAGGACCTGACCGACGCTTACGGGCCGCCAAGTAACTTCCTGGAGATCGACATCTTTAATCCTCAGACGGTGGGCGTGGGCCGCGCGCGCTTCACCACCTATGAGGTTCGCATGCGGGTGAGTCACGGGGTGAGGGAGACTGCTGAGGGAGGACCGGGCGGCGCTGGCGGGAGGAGGGGAGGGAGGCTATCGCGGGGACGACTAACGGCGGGGAAGACGCCTGAGGGGTCATTTGGGGGTTAGGGGCTTAATAGACTTGGAACGAGGTCTGCAGATTCAGTTGTGGCCGGAGGATGCAGAAAACTCCTGAGGGAGACATCGGACGGGGGTGCAGGAAAACTACCCATGAGGAAGTGAAGCATGGCTGGATAGGGTGGGGTGGATGGAAGAAGATTAGAGCGAGGAATTCAAGGAGATAGGAATCACGGCTATAGCGACAGAAGGAAGGGAGGGAGGATGGAAGAGGGCTGGGGGATGGAAAGCCAAGGGGATATATCGCTGAGCTCCCTACCTAAACTAGGTTGTGGGAAGTCTGAAGAGGGTGGGCTGGAAGGCCGGCTGCTTCCTAATGAGATCTCCCTGGGATGATGGAGTTAAGCAAAGCCTTGAATTAAAGGGAAGGTAGATTGCAGAAAAGGCAGCCAGTGGGCTTGTGGGAGCAGAAATAAGAAAGGAAGTCTCCTTGAGACTGAGCGCTTCCCTAACTTGTGCGAATTAGCATCTGAAGGAGAGAAATGTTTTATGCTTAAGTTTTCGCAGGTACTACGTGCTGTCTCACCTTGAAACCTGGCCTTGCTCTGGGATTGGTGCCTTGTCAGTCACTGCTTTCATTCTATGTTGATCCTTTAGATTTGAAGTATCCAGAATGTTTATTTCAATATTTATTGGCTCTCATTTAGGTACTTTGTATATGAATGGCTTTTTGCCTTTTGTGTCCTAGATTACCCTTTTGGATTCTGACCCTGGTCTGTAGTTACTTTGATACATGACATTTCAGAACTGCCCAGGTGTGGCTTCTTCCAGCCTGCATGACAGAGGACTTTACTCTCTAGTGCTTAGCCCATAATGCAAGGATGGAATGTGCAGATAGAGTACTTGGTTTGCAGGTTCTTTTGTCCACTTGAAGTGGCTATAGGCAAAACAGTTTGAGAATCATTTTCTAGTTTTCCTTGTGTTATTCTCAGATGAGAAGGCCAGAATATTCTCTATGGACAGCATCCTGCTCAAACTGCACTGAAGAACTAAAAGAGTGTATGTGCTTTCATTGTTGAATGAGTGAATTGAATGAGAAATTGTGGTCTCCTACCTGGACTTTGAAATCTTATTGAGAAATGGTGATTTCCAGATTCCAAGTTTGGCAAAGTCCAAACTGAAGAAAGAAAAGTGAATAGCAAAACATGAGAAACACTTGTCTATATAAGAACTATTTTCAATCATCTCTTTGGGGAAGAATGGAATTTAGGTCCTTCAGAATATGATAAAAGCAGGAAACAGTCAGTGCTGGAGAACTTAATTACCTGAGGGAGCCTGGGCACAACTAGTTCAGCATAAGGGCTCTCTGCTGTGGGGTTTTGGAGACATTTGATGCATTACCCGAGAGTCTTAGGGATACTGAATGAAATCGCTCTTTACTCCAG